TGTTGCAAACAGCCATTTTCCAGCAAAATAACGTTAAACTGCACATAAGATTTCCAAACAATGTCTCTGTCATATTGTCAGTATGAGATAGTAAAAAATAATAAAGTAAAGCAAGCTTTATGAATGTACATGAAATTAATAATGAAATGGAGTGAATAAAAACTTATACTGTTGCGTTTGTAGTAGCCTCATGTTTTTGTTTTTACAACAAACCCTTCTAAAAGCATTTTGAATATTTTATTAGGATAAATGCCACCTGATGCTATTGTCTACTCATACTATTGGCCCTGCATGTTACCATACTTCCATAGCTTGCCTAACATCCAGATTTGTTGTCCATCAGGCAATTTGTGGGAACAAATGGAGTGTCAGTTTTGGCCATCTGCAAACATGAAGTATCTGGAATGGCAATTGCAATATCTACAGGCAAATCTATTGTAGAATAGCATATGGTGCCCATATGCCTCCATATCCCGTATGTATCCAGCCAACAGAAGATCCTACAAGTTAATAAAAGTTCCTTTAAACTATACTAATGTCAGGAAGTTTCATTCTTCCTCCTGGGTGTGTGACTTTTTGTCATTGAGAGTATATGATGNGTCATTCTCAACATTTAATTTATTCCTCTCAAACTCTCAACACATGTTTCAACCAACTGTGACAGAATAGCATACCTAGATTACACTTATTTTAATTTTAAAAAATATATGAAATTATTCAAACTTCAAGACACCATTAAAAATAAAAATTGCATTATAGTGAATATTTTTTTTAGTTTACTGTATAAATTGATGACCCCACAGAAAGCCCGTCGCAACCTATAGGTTGGGAACCCGTGTTCTATATGCTTGTATGGCTTTCAAATATTCTATTTTTTGAACATATAAATCTGAACATAGCACAATATAGTTCCAAAAAATGTTTAATCGTAAATAAATCTGAACTCAACATTATTCCAATGGAGTCATACAATATGCATAATTATTAATAATATGCAAGCATTTATGTAATAATACAAAAAATTTCTCAACTTCATATGCTCTTTTTCTGTTTTCTGCATGTATGAGGGCAGTTTTTTTCAAGCTCCAATGGTCCATAAAACAAAGACAAGTGAATCTATTACCAAAAGTTAGGTACAAACATGGTTACTTTTCGACATAATCACTGTAAAGATTGAAGAATTTGTCATATCTGTGGACAAGCTTGTCCATCCCCTTGTCATAGAATGTTGCTGCCAGAATAAATTCATTTTGTTATTTACACTTGTCTTTTTCTTATGGACCATCAGAGCTTGAAAAAAAAACAGCCTATGTAAAAAGATAAGTAATGAAGTAAATAATCACTTAATAGCAAATTTATGTTTTTGTATTATACACAAAATTCTGGCAAACTAATGTAAATGTGTCAAAACATGAGTATAAAATTTTGCATAAACTGAGATCTGTCATAATTATACTTCAGATTTTTTGGTTCTAAAAATTTGATTTTAGATACTTGAAGTAGAATCATTCATTTTGCTAACAGGTTTTAAAACAAAAACAAAAAAGGAATTAATTTAAAGGCAATTATAATTTAACTGAAATATAAACAATCAAATAAAATACTAGAGTACAATAAATGAAACAGTTTTCTTTATAATATAAGCTGATTTAAAAATTATTTTATGGATTAACTTTCAAGAGAATTAACATTTGNAAAAAATTGTATATTTTTTAGCAATGCAAGAAGGAAAAATATTTAAAAATTCTTATTGATTACCAAAATAATATCAAATGATCTCAGGTTGCCAGTCAAAAGGACAGGGTTAATCTTTTGCAACTCTGTCCTTTTACTTATTACTTCTTTATTACTGAAACTTTTTTAACATTCTCAGTGCTTACGGTGCAATGTCAGAATGGTTAATCTTTTGCAACTATTCTGACATTGCACCGTAAGCACTGAGAATGGTTACTGTAAAAGTTAGCTAATTACATTAGATTCTATTTAACTTAGAATATAGAGAAAGTTGCAAAAATTGAAAAATAACAATCCAATATTAAATTATTAAGACTAGTTTTCCCAATACTGTACTGAAATTCTCATTCCAAAATTACATAACATATTCTATGATATTTTTGATTTAATAACTTTGTAATTTCAAACAGGCAGATTTGTATTATTCAATATATATTGAATGTCTACACACAGTAGCAATTTAATAAAAATTCACTGCAAATATAGTGTTGGTGTTACATTTCAAAACTAACCTGTATTTAATTGGCAATGAACTATTTACTATTACTGTTTCTTAAAGATAAATAACTCCTTGGTGTAAGGATGATAATCTATATGCTATTAAATCTAATGACTGCCTCAACACCTGGACCTAATTTTTAACAGAAATAAAATATAAATATTGATATTATGCATTAAGTAACATGCCATTTTATTGCCATTGCTAAGGGGAGAAAACATTTACAATTTTTTTAAACTAAAAATTTTGATTTATAAGAATACATTTCCTCTCTTAGTCCATGATATGTGAAATTATTTTTTAGATTTGATTTTCTGTAATTTGTTATTTCTTAAACTTTTGTGTTGCATTTGCTTTTCATTCTCTTAGATCAGTTTGAATTCTTTTTTATATACACTTATGCACCCAGATTGAGTTGTCAACAACTTTTTTGTCCAATTACTGAAAAACTTGGCAGGTAGATATGTAAATGATTATGGTTATAGTGAAATTAACACACCAGATTGCCTTAAAATTGCTACCCCAGCATCCTATAAAATGGCTTGCAGATGCTATCTTCAGAATTTTCAGCATATCTGTTGTTGGAGTCTTTGAATGCCGGACATATAGTCAAAAACATTACATGCAGTTGACAGAGTTTGAGATAGATTCTGCTTGCCATTTGTGATGTGGCCTGAGTGCTCTACACAGACCACCAGGAGAGATGACATTTAATTGAGAGACAAGTGTGAACAGCTGCACTAGTCTTTTTCCATCATCCACAGATAGGTAGAAGCTCACTACAGAATCCCATCTCGTCCTGTACAATTGGCAGGTAACTAGCAGAGACAAATTTGCATGCAAGGTGACTGCTACGGATCTGCCATTAGCACTCTGACATTCTTGACTTCATTTGCAGCTGTACTGAGACAGAAGCATGGTCTGCTATAGCCTGGCAGCATATTGCCTTTCGTGATGAATCCTGTTTTTTTTAAGAATGGATGAATAATGTATTAAAGTATGGAGGACCAATGATGAGAACTTCAGTCTTACATTTACTGTTGAGTGTTGCACTGCTCCCATTCTTGACATACTAGTCTGGGGAACCATCTTATATGACAGTCACTCCTAGTAATGGTCTGAAGGACAATTGGTGGCACAGTGCTATATTCAGGAAATTCTGCATTCTTATATGTTGCAAACAGCCATTTTCCAGCAAAATAACGTTAAACTGCACATAAGATTTCCAAACAATGTCTCTGTCACATTGTCAGTATGAGATAGTAAAAAATAATAAAGTAAAGCAAGCTTTATGAATGTACATGAAATTAATAATGAAATGGAGTGAATAAAAACTTATACTGTTGCATTTGTAGTAGGCTCATGTTTTTGTTTTTACAACAAACCCTTCTAAAAGCATTTTGAATATTTTATTAGGATAAATGCCACCTGATGCTATTGTCTACTCATACTATTGGCCCTGCATGTTACCATACTTCCATAGCTTGCCTAACATCCAGATTTGTTGTCCATCAGGCAATTTGTGGGAACAAATGGAGTGTCAGTTTTGGCCATCTGCAAACATGAAGTATCTGGAATGGCAATTGCAATATCTACAGGCAAATCTATTGTAGAATAGCATATGGTGCCCATATGCCTCCATATCCTGTATGTATCCAGCCAACAGAAGATCCTACAAGTTAATAAAAGTTCCTTTAAACTATACTAATGTCAGGAAGTTTCATTCTTCCTCCTGGGTGTGTGACTTTTTGTCATTGAGAGTATATGATGATGTGGCATTTTTTTTATTTAATATATTTGCAAAATAGATAATTGTTTATTAGAAATTTTGGTTTATAAGTTAGAGATGAATCTAGTCTGCCTCATACAGTCAACTTGTTATGTAGGTACTCACACATTTAATGTCTGGTAAAGAGCAAATTCATAAAAAAATTTTTAGAAGTTAAGTATATTTTGTGTTCGTATTTGGATGAGTGCCCACAAAATTCTCACAGAGAGAATTTTTTGAGACATCAAATTTAATTGTAAATTTCAATCTGTTTCTCAACATATTTGGAGAATTTGGTAAAATTTCTGATTTTAATGGAAAATAAATACTTTCACAAAAACAAAACTAACAGCAAAAACTTCTAGCATTATAACAGTGTGATGCAATGTTATAAAAACTCTCTATATATATTTCATCTATTATCAGATTGTTTGTTCTATTTTATTGAATATTTTTACTCTTGTGGGATATCAAGTCAGTCTTCATAATTCATCCTTTTTACACACTTCAGGAACAATGGTCTCTACGGAGGGTCAACCCTTTAATGGAGACTAACATCTTTGACCCATGCAGTGGTAAAAATTCCAGGGCAATGGCATAATTACAAAAACATTTATTGTCTATTCTATTCAATTGAATATTTTTATATTATCATCACCCTGGCCATATTATTTTCATAAGTATATTTTTTATCAAAAGTGTAAGAAAATATCTACTAAATTTACATCTGTACCATATCAAATATTCTTGTTTCACTGACATACATACTATCTGAAAATGAACTTGTTTAAAAAAAAGTGTAATTTGTATTCAAAGCATTTTGTTTACATTTTATGTCTCAAAAATTTATTCACAATGCTGTATTTATTTGTTCTAATGTCTTAAGTGATCAGAAATGATGATAAAAATCTTACCTTCTGGATATTGAGAGAGTTTTAAATACTAAAATAAACTGAAATGGAATATTAAAAATATGAAATAATCAAAATCCATTTTCAGGCTCTTTGGTGATGGCAGATCTCATCCTCCGGCATCAAAATCTTTTGTGGAGAAACTTAAAACGATTACAGATTTCCCAAAAGGTGCGATTATTTTTATTTAATAAATGAAAACAATTAAAATTTCTTCAATGATCTCATTTTGTGCTCTTTGATAAATACTTGCCAAATTTTAAAAAATAATGTGTATTTTTATGTAAAAATAGTGTGTTATTCAGAACAAAATGAAAAAAAATTAATCCATTTTACATTATATTAACTATTGTTTTTTTTTAATGTCGTCATAGAACTTTACAGTTGAAGCCATGATAACAATTTAATATTTTTCTGAATTTTATGAATTTGGCTTAATTTACTTAGTTGAAATGGCTAAGAAGTTATCTTTATCATCATCTCTTAGTTAATGATGGCAACATTGGCAATACACAATCAAAATTATTCTGCACATGCTGCAGTCTGCCAATGTTAGCAAAAGAATAGAAGTAAAATTGATGATGTTTGTACACATTATTCATGTAAAATGTTACATAATTTGCAGTTCAAATTGGTATTTGTTCATTTGGAAATTTGCATTCATTGTGCAATCACTAGAATACTAATCATTTAATTCTAAATTTATGATTAAAAACTAAATTGAAAACACCAGAATAATGAAAATGCACATTTAAACTCTGATAACATCAATTATAACTTTATTACAATTTTTTTTTACAAAACAGTTGGACATTTTTCAACATGAGGATTCTGAACTTTGTTACATTATACCCGCATCCACGCACGCATTCGTACTAAATTAGTAATTATCTTAATTCAGTATTCTAAAATCTTCTCATTCTTCGTCTATCACGTACACTATTTTCTTTTGTATTTTAGCACAGAATGGCAGTCGGTTATGCGGCGAAAGTGAATTTATTTACGTTGCATTGTAACCATTTATTTTCACAGGCACTTACCATTATTTTTAATTACATTCCATAGATATATTCATCTTCCAAATTTCTTAAAATTTTAGATTGTTTTTAAATTTAATTTTTGAAAATCAAGTTTTTGCCATAATGAGCACCAGGAAAATGTCAACTAAAAGATCATTCTTAGACTATTCTAGTAAATATCAATTACAGTTACACTTATTATTCAAATTATACAAAGTTCATAACATTATTCATTTACCATTTTTGTTTTTACGTGTTATTTCTATTGAATTTTCGCATGTTAATTACGGTTTGTTTCTAATTAATATATTTTGCTCCTAAGTAGACAGACAATGCCCCGTGTGCATGAAGGAGTTTGAAGAAGGTGACATAGGAAAGCAGTTACCTTGTCAACATTTATTCCACGCATCCTGCATATCACCTTGGCTCAATATTGTATATTTTACATTCTTTCATATATACAGTGAAATCTGCCTTTTGATTCTGTTTTTACTAAAAATAATTTTCACAGAGCAGTGCAATGTCAGAAAATAATAAATTTCCATGTAACCAGTTCTTTAGAAAAGGCTACGTATATTATAAGAAACAAAAAATTACTTAGAAAATTAAAGTGCATAAATCAAACATCTGATATTTTCCAAAAATACATAAATCATGATTGCCAAAAATTATCTTTTTCTAGTCTGTATAATCTTAATGAAATTAAAAGCAGTTCATAAAGGCATATTTTACTGTAATTTACATAAAAATATAAGATTTTCAATGACCAACTTAATTTTCAGACCAACACGTGTCCGGTGTGTAGAGACGAACTACCTACAGATGATCCCGATTATGAAGAGTACAGAAAACAACAGGTAAATGAATAAAAATGAGAGTTAAAAATAGAGATAAAACATATATTTCCCTCTTTTTACCAGGAGAGAATTAAACAAAGAAAAGCGGATTTAGAAACCCTGCACGATTCAATGTTCGGTTAAATACAACTTAAGGCGTCAACAAAAGATTTATTGCTAAAATGTCATAGTTGCCATTATGTACAACGGGGCCTGTGTGAACAACAAACTGACGACGAGGGACCACGAGGCAACAAAAAACAGATTCGTATGAAACTTGTCCGTGAGATCGACTGCGGTCAGCAGACGCAGGGACGAGGGACTTGTCCGACCAAAGATGCTTGTCTTGTCTTGTCATTTTTCTGTTGTCGATCACCTGCAATATAGAGAGATGTAGCAAAAATCTATCCGAATGTTTTTTGTATTCCCAATTACAATAATCTGTTATCGAGGCGCATTACGGTTTTCTTTCCCCCAATTGGCCATATCATTTTGGTTCCGTGTTACAAATAAGAATTTGTGACGATATTAAAAATGATGGTGTCGGAATTAATGAAATACAAGATCTAACTCACACGTGCACACAGACACACATACACACACAAAGAAACACAAACATCTTATAATCAAACTAAATTTTATTTTCAACATCAACATGACAAAACAATTCTCCCAGGCATCATACATTACTATAAAAAGTTGTTGTTCACAAACTCTTTGACAATTTTTCTAATTTTACATAATATACAACAGGTAAACCGTTTAGGAAAACTTGCCATTTTCTGAGTCTGACTGTCGTCTGGAAGCATAACTAGGAGTCACAAAGGTAACGAGTTTTGGATATACTGCGAACAAATTCGTGTACCGCTAAATGGTTAAAAAATTTTCACATTAAATTCGAATAGCTACACCAACCCAAACTACACAATTTTGTTTCTAAATCAGGTAGACGTTGACATTTTCCATAGTACATATGGCACAATAGGAAGATTCCAACAACAACAAAAATTGCACTTGATAAAAACCTAAAATGCTGGAATGAAATTACCAACAGATAGGCCTGTACCGATTGTAGTATTTGTCAAGTTTTCTACATCAGTTTCAAGCAGCATTGGAATGTGATCCTGTGGTCACTTGCCTTATTTCTATTACCAACAGTTTGGAAAAGTGCATTACAGTTCAACCAACAAATTTTTGCAGCAGAATATTCTGTTGTTAACATTTAGACAACAATATATAAATAGCTTTCTCTGGCACAGCTTTGCCAAGCATCAAAATACTGATGTCTTTGGTATGGGTAAGGGAAAGCAAATGTACAATGCTTGTTGAGAACGGGACATCCTTCCAAACTTTGTACTATACTCCCTTCGATCGAATTTCGCCGGCGTATAAAATAATCTTACCTTCTGTCACAAAGATTTCCTGGAAAACGGATAGATCGTTATAGTAATTTGTTACGCTTACGACCTACGAAATTGTCGTAACTTCTTAATATTCTAGTAAACGAATTATTCTAATGACTAACACACAAAGAAAAATACAGCACATTTTGCTAGTAAATTTCCAGTTAATTATTAAGAACCAAAATTTTACACTTTAGAAATCTTTGCTTAGGTAAGATAATTTATAAAAAAGAAATTTTACAAACATGCAACTAATTACTTAAAATAAGAACTTTTAATATAGTTTAACGAAACTTTCAAAATTATATTTGCACATGCTCAAAACACTTTTATAGCACGAAGAGGAACCGTTCGCATCCGGGCTATGGGCAAACGCGTGCACCGCCACGTCCACACAAAACAAATGCGCGCATCGAGAAAATTACTATTGGTAAATTGGTTACGTACCGTATCCTCCTCCGTAACCTCCCTGCCCGTAATTCCATCCGCCATAGTCGTATCCACCGTTGTACCCACTGTAGCTAGTCCCATAATTATAATCGTAATTATAATTACCGTAGCCACCATATCCTCCTTGATTATAGTTTCCGTATCCTTGATTATAACCATAAGCTTGGTTTGCCCAACCTTGATTTTGATAACCACCTGAAAATAGTTTTAATTATTAAAAACTGATAAAATATTAAAAGACAATTACTCTTATTAAAGAGAGAAATTAATCTACATTACAGTAGACCATTAATCCAGCAAACTCTCCAGTGTACCTGCACATTTCCATTTTCATGAAAATGTTAGCCATGTCACACATCCTGTTTTGTTTACCCTGACTTCATTTCTGTGTACAGTACTGCATTTCATATTATTTTCTCACCAACCTCAAAAAGAAATGATACCAAAAGCCCAGACTTGGTAAATCATGCATTCACATTTACAATGGTCAGATTAACAGATTTACCATAATGTAAATGATGATATTCATATTTTATGCAATTACAGACTTGTCTACATTATAATGAATGTCTTATGATATTAAGAAAACAGCAGGAAAACTATCTGATGAAAGATTTAAATGAATTCAAACTGTTTCAATATATTCAAACTGTTTCAATATATTGAAACAGTTTGAATCACATTTAAAGTATTATTTGCAAATCAGAACAAATTACATACTTTTTTGATGTTTAAGTGCATTCTAGATATACTAGAAGTAATTTTATAGTTTTAAAAAGTACATGCAGGTTACATAATGGCCTGCATTTATGTCTGTAGTACTAATGTTTTTCTGGTCAAAAATTACCAAAATTATTACAAAAAAATTAGTTATGATTTTACATGTTCTCTCTGCTGTTAAGTTGATTTAAATACCCAAATTAAGTTTAGTTATAATCTCAATTAGCTGCCAATATATCTGCAAATACTTTTGACAGAAACAGTGAAAATCTTTGGCCATCCACTTTTTCAACAGAAATTTTGACTAAATTGGCATTTTATTAGTTTCACAACTGAGATTGTCATCAATAGTAATTTCCTTATCAAAACTTTAACAATTTACAAATTGAAATAATAATAAATCTGGTAATACGCTAATTAAATCACGTATACAAAAACAGCCATTTATTTTATGATTAGTGTTATTCTAATCAGAAATAACATCTTTACAAATAACTTGTGGGTTACACCAATATTTCCATTAAGCAGTTTTGCAACACATCCAATGATACATGCAGACATGTACAGTACTCCTAACATTCAACATAAAAATAAAGCAATTATAATAAATTATGATAAAGGAAAAATAATAATCCAAACAAACATCTGAGATGTAAAAAAAAGTTGTGCCAAGTATAAACTTAAAAATTTTGACTGTCGTCTAAATTGTGATAGGAGTTTTTCTTCGGTAAAGATAATCTTGGCACTTTAAAACAGTACCCACAAGATTTTTACCCATACTATGATTGTCTACAAATTGCTTCCAAGTGCCAAGCTTATCTACCATAGAAAAATGTTGACCATCTAAATTGTCATAAGTTTTTACTTGGTGCAATATTTTTACATCTTGGATGTTTTTGTTTGAATATCAATTGTTTTTTTGTTAATGAAGGCTTGACTGTGTTTTTATTTTGACAGGAATACAGATATTAAAATGAAAGTATTATTTATTACTATTTCAAGAAATCATAAGCCGTTGTATTTGAACTTTTCTAAGAACAAGTAGGTACAGAGTTTTAGCATTGCATTGCCATTTATTTTTTTCTATTATAGTATCATTGCATTGTATCCAATCTTTATTTTCTTTGAACATACAAGTGTAATGACTACTTTGAAATTGACATACAAAGATTTAACAGGAAATAGAACAAGAATAGAAAAACAAAAAATTAAAATCTTGGAACTTTTTTAAATTACAGATTGAATATGCGAAGTTTCTCATATCATATATGATGCATCAAATTAGGCACGTTCAAATAACACACTCCAGTCTGCTTCCTCGAAGTTAATAGCTATCCCTCTCCCAAAGGCTTTAAAGATTTCTAGACTTTCTGGGTGTTTCAGCAGAGGCACTATTATCTCTCGTCTTTTTCATTCCTAAGGAGTGAAAAAAATCACACAGTTTCTTCTGAAAACAATTCTATGCTTACTACATTGGGCTATCTCCTTGTAAATGGAAAGGAGGGCCTTTTTGTATGTGACTACAAAACCATGTGAAGAACTGCCTTGGCCGAAACACCCGGAAAAGATAGAAATCAACAAAGTCTTTGGGAGAAGATCGGCATGAATGTAGATGGTCCATTTTTGTTAATTTAGGTCTATAATCATAAAATTTAGCAAAATTGCTGTAGAGGAAATCTCATTCCTCTACAGCAATTTCTAACATCAAGATGTTAGAAACAATGACACCATCCATGTTTATGTCTAAATATATTTTAAATTGTCATTAAGTTGCAACCTAACATGATGACACAACAGTCCAGTTGGCACCAACTGAATACTTTCAACACGCCGTTTAGTAAAATCATTATAAAAAAGTTTTAATTGTTATATGGAATAAAAGCTCAAATTTATGCCATTTTGAATAAAATTCATTTTGATGCAATTTTATGCTTATAAGCATAAAATTGAGCCATAAAACTGAAATAGCTATATAGGAAAACCCCGTGATTTCACGTATCAACAGAAGTTTCATAGGCACCTCACCAGTAACAAGAAAGACAGGTTTAAAACTTGATCTTCCTAGACCCAGTAATTCTCTCTCTGAGCATCTGCAGTACCAGATGATGAAAAGAAGAACATACAGCTTTTTTTGGAGAACTTTGAACTTTTCAATTGTTTATATTTTAGCAACCACTTTATAGAAAATCTTGAAATTTTGCACACTACCTAAGAAAACAATTATCTTTCAAACAAGATATTTGAAATTTAGACATTTGAGTGGCAGAAAAATTGACCTCCAAAAATCAACAACTCTGATTCCTGTGTGTGTGTATGCTATCAAGAGTCAGTCAGTGATACACCACTGACTGACTCTTAATAGCATAGCCTTTATTTTGTAAACAATAACTGAAATCTGCAATATACTGTGACTTGTTAGAAAGACTAAAATGGAAAAGATACATATCATAATTTCTCATGGATAACTATAGGTAGTGTGTACTTGAAAGGGGTTGTGAGTTACCTTTTAAATTTAACTCAATTAAAAAGATCATCAAATAGTTTGTCTTCATCTAAGTCGCCAAGGACATCTTTAGAAGATGTGAAAAGTCTTATGTGCTGCAGACATTTGTATGTCATCACAATTTTTCTCAAAACCATTTAAGACATATATATTGCCTTGCTTTTAGTTCTCTCTTTTCTGTGCATTAGTCCTTGCTTTAATAATTATTACACACTCCCACTTGAACTTTTATCTTGAAAGCTGATTAATTTTCTCCAAGAACACCATTTAGAAATTATTGTGATAAAATCAACAAGGTGAATTTTAAAGAATAAAACAGGAAAAAAATTATTATGACATTGTCACAATGCTGGGCAGTTTTTAATCATATTTTCAATTTATTTAATTTAAAATATATGCTGTTGATCTCAAATTAGTAGTGTCTTGCCCCTGTACATTATACTTTTGCCAATAACAAAGTTCTGCCGGTCATTTATGTAACTCCATTATAGGGAAAATTTTTTAACAGAAATCCCCAAATGACTTCCAATGTAGACCGGAAGTTCGTATATAGTTAATTGGAGCCTCCAGCCCCTAAGCTGTCCATAGATGAAAGTCGAGATCATATATCTAATACAATTCTCAAGATTAAGGAAGGACAGAGATTATACACAACAGCTTTATTCTCTGCCATTTTGCTAGCAAAATCAAGATTAAATATGACATAAAAAATAAAGCAAAATAATAAATTGTAGTGTACAAATCTGTTTAAATTTATATTAATTAAACATTCATTTAAATTTTAGTGCTGAGTATTGACTCTCCAACAAGCATCACATCATTATTAAAATTATCTTTTATTCATGTTAGGGGAGATTTGTTAACTTTAAATGCACTGCATGTGGATTGAATTGTATCACTGAAGAGGCCAAAATATCATTACTTTGGCAAAATTCATATTGTAGGTAACTTATAGTTTTATTTATTCTCACTCTCATTATACTTCTATCCTAGTTATGGGTGTTGAACGTGTTTATTGCCACTAAAGCCAGAACATTTTTTTTTCAAATACAAGGATAAATCTCNAAAATGTTAGCCATGTCACACATCCTGTTTTGTTTACCCTGACTTCATTTCTGTGTACAGTACTGCATTTCATATTATTTTCTCACCAACCTCAAAAAGAAATGATACCAAAAGCCCAGACTTGGTAAATCATGCATTCACATTTACAATGGTCAGATTAACAGATTTACCATAATGTAAATGATGATATTCATATTTTATGCAATTACAGACTTGTCTACATTATATAATGAATGTCTTTTATGATATTAAGAAATCAGCAGGAAAACTATCTGATGAAAGATTTAAATGAATTCAAACTGTTTCAATATATTCAAACTGTTTCAATATATTGAAACAGTTTGAATCACATTTAAAGTATCATTTGCAAATCAGAACAAATTACATACTTTTTTGATGTTTACGTGCATTCTAGATATACTAGAAGTAATTTTATAGTTTTAAAAAGTACATGCAGGTTACATAATGGCCTGCATTTATGTCTGTAGTACTAATATTTTTCTGGTCATAAATTACTAAAAATATTACAAAAAATTAGTTATGATTTTACATGTTCTCTCTGCTGTTAAGTTGATTTAAATACCCAAATTAAGTTTAGTTATAATCTCAATTAGCTGCCAATATATCTGCAAATACTTTTGACAGAAACAGTGAAAATCTTTGGCCATCCACTTTTTCAACAGAAATTTTGACTAAATTGGCATTTTATTAGTTTCACAACTGAGATTGTCATCAATAGTAATTTCCTTATCAAAACTTTAACAATTTACAAATTGAAATAATAATAAATCTGGTAATACGCTAATTAAATCACGTATACAAAAACAGCCATTTATTTTATGATTAGTGTTATTCTAATCAGAAATAACATCTTTACAAATAACTTGTGGGTTACACCAATATTTCCATTAAGCAGTTTTGCAACACATCCAATGATACATACAGACATGTACTCCTAACATTCAACATGAAAATAAAGCAATTATAATAAATTATGATAAAGGAAAAATAATAATCCAAACAAACATCTGAGATGTAAAAAAAAGTTGTGCCAAGTATAAACTTAAAAATTTTGACTGTCGTCTAAATTGTGATAGGAGTTTTTCTTCGGTAAAGATAATCTTGGCACTTTAAAACAGTACCCACAAGATTTTTACCCATACTATGATTGTCTATAAATTGCTTCCAAGAGCCAAGCTTATCTACCATAGAAAAATGTTGACCATCTAAACTGTCATAAGTTTTTACTTGGTGCAATATTTTTACATCTCGGATGTTTTTGTTTGAATATCAATTGTTTTTTGTTAATGAAGGCT